CTGGAGCACCTCCTCCCCCTCCTTCTTCACTGACCTTGGTGTCTGCAGGGCTGTTTTCTCTTGCATCCTCTCACTTCTCTTCTCTCTCCGGCTACTGTGCTTGTGGTGTTTGGTTTGGGTTTGTTTTTTTTTTTTTTTTTCGGTCTTAAATAAGTTATCACAGAGGTGCTTCCGCTATCGGTGATTGGCTTGGCCTTGGCTAGCGGGGGGCCCCGGGGAAAATTCTAGCAGCTTCTCTCAGAAGCCACCCCTGTAGGCCCCCCACTACCAAGACCTTGCCACACATTACTTTTCACATCTATCCAGTGCTTTCTTTTCTGTTTAGAATCCAGAAATTTGTTACACGCAGGAGGGAGTCTGTATTAGAACTGTTTTCGTGAAAGCATAGTCTAGCAGGCTTGCTAAATTGAGTTCCCTGTACTGGGATGCTGGTTTGTTTAATCCTGTAAGACACTTCACGTGAATGTCTAGAGGCCTGGGCTCGCCCCCCCCTCCCTGGCACCTCTGGGGATCGGGCGGTCTGGTCATGCTGCCTTGTAGTTAGGGGCAGGATGAGGCCCCCCCTTGGCTGGGGGAGGCTTTGAGGGGGCGGGGGCTGGTCCTGTGCCCCCACAGCTCCTGGGAGGGATGGTCCCCACTCCCTCTCTGGTATTTGGGACTTGGCATTCCCTTCCAGAGCTCCCAGGACAGAGCCCCTTCCTCCTCCCTGCCCTGGGTTGGGGGGCTGAGGAGGAGGAGCAGCCTTCCTCCTCCAGCACAGGGCTCGGACAGGGGCTGGCAAGGGTCCCCGTAATTCTTCAGCTGTAACATCTCTTGCAAGCAAGGTGGTGGCTTGTTTGGGGGGCACCAGTTCCTTGGGGGGATTTTCCTGCTCCTCCAGGTTTTTGAGGAGTGGCCATGTGAATAAGGAGCCGGTCGGGCTTTGGGCTGTCTCGATCCTCTCTGGTTTCTCAAGGTACCGGTGTCCCAAGGATGGTGTTTGAGAACGGGGCATGTGGGTCTCTTATCACACCCCAACGTCCTGGGAAGAACAGTGCTGCAGCTGCTGAATGGTTTAGGGGCTTGGGAGGAGGGAATCTCGCTATTACACTGGTTTTGGCGGGGGAAGAGAACGTGGGAGGTGTGGAGAGGATCCTGCTGCAGCCTCGGTAATGCAGCCTGTGTGTTTTCAGAAGAAAAAAGGTGATCCTGTAACAGCTGTCTGCCTGTTTGGGGATGGTTGGGAGGAATCACGGCGTTCGCGAGGAGGGCCTGGTGTGGTTCCAGATGCAGGAGAAGGCTCACGGAGAGGTGGGCACAATCCTGATGCGGTGTCCAGGTCCGCCCTGACTTCCCACAGGGAACAGCAAAGACTTAACGGCAGGTTCTCACTGTCGCTTCTCGAGGTGCCTGGTGAGGTTTGGGGGACTGCGGGCAGCGAGGTGGCCCCGGGGGTGTTTCCTGAAGTCCTAGGGAGGAGGAGGCCCAGGGGCAGGGAATGGAGCTTCTGCAGGGAGGTCAAGTGTTTCAGCGGGGCTATTCCTTGTGGGTCTGGGCCACTTCCTTAAGAGCCTCCTGGCTTTTGGTCTGTGAGAGGGAGAGGGGCTTGGTAGTCAGAACATGTTGTTTTCTTTCAAACCCAGTTTCTTTTCTCTCTTCGCCTCCCGTTTCTCAGTCTAGGCCCCTGTAAAGTCCTTAATTCCTTGCTGCTGGTGTCTGCATGTGATTGGGGCTGCGATTACTTTCCCACAATTAGTTTAATTTGAAGAGACTTCCCTAGAAGGTGAGCAGCGGAAGTTTGATAGCCGCTGTACTTAGGTTTTAAGCAGTGCGTTAGGAGTCGAGCCTTGCTTGTGGAAGCAGCTGCCTCAAAGGATGTATTTTTAGTGTGTCTGAGGAGGGCAAAGAAAAAAAAAAAATGCGTCACCCCACATGTGGCCGTGCTGGCGTTAGGAGGGGTGGGGACTGGCAGAGGTGCTTCCCAAAGACTTGCTTGCCTGGAGTTTTCCTGCTCAGGGTCTGAGGAGCAGCAGGAGGATCGGCGAGTACTGCCAGCACTTGTACTCCCAGCGTTAACCCTGCAGCCTGGTCTGTGTGAGGGGGCCCCGCTTCCCCATAGGGACCACTCTAAACTGGTGGGACCATGCAGAAATGCAAGGCTCTGGCTGTTGGCGAGGCGTGGAGGTAGCTCAGGACCTCCTGTGATGACCAGGAGCACCAACAGTGCCCAAAGCTCTCCTTGTCTGGCAGGAATCAGTTTGCCTCTCTAGTTTTCTGGGTTTATTCCACCCCGATTAGGTTTTCCTGGGTCTAATCCCTCCTCCTGCTAACACGCGATTGCCCCCTGCAAGATGTTTTCTAGGGCTTTAATTTATTTGTACCATCAAGTATCTAAGCACACATCTGGGTGCTATAAAAATAATAATGCACTAATAGCAAACCAGCACAGTTATGGTACGAGGCCGTCGTAGCGTGCGACGGGAGCGAGGGAACTTGGTGTTCCCTTCCTTTTGGCATCCTGCATGGCAGATTTTCTATTTATACTGCTAGAATAAACGGGGTGTCCTGGCTGAGCTTAGAAACTTTACATTGTGAAGCCCAGTGAGATGAAATAGCACGAAACCCGCCGGGATGGAGATAACCAGTAGCTGCTCATCGCAACGGGGAAATGGTCCCGGGTGTGGGGAGGGTTGTTAGGCTGAA